GGGGGGGGGGGGAGGAGAGTTGAAGGGGGTCCTAGCGAGCCGGACCTGGACTGACCGACGAAAGTGTCGTGGGATAGATCTTGGGACAAGGCCGTTCGAGTGCCCCAGGCTATATAATCCGCGGACATGGACAATGAGGCTGCGGGTGTATCGATCATTAGATCGAGACGTAACGTATCGATTTCTCCGAGGAGAGGGGTGGCGGAGGGACGCGAACCACGGATTGTTGATTAAACAAGAGGAGGAATGAGTAGACGAAATAGTGGTGGCGGTATTGGTGGTGGTTGTGTTGGTGGGGGTATACAAATAAGATGAGTATTAATTGCGAATCGTTCTTCCAAGGTCTTGACGGATTCGCGGCGATCGTTATACGGATAAATCGCGTGAGCTTATCGTTGTAACGCGATGACGTGATAACCAAGGTTAACGAATGAATAAATAAAGCTTCCTGGACTCCTACTTTCTCTCTCGCTTCCTCTTAATAAAGGCGGCTCGATAATCTTTATCTTTATTTCGCGGTCTATCGGAGTAATGTCTCTTAGCGTTTAGCCTCGTTCATAACAACGTATGTAACAAGGAGAAATGGTAATGTCGACAAATTCCTCAATACGTAGCGCAGAAAAGATATTTAAACGGAAGAGTCAATTCTGTCGACGTTCAGCCCTTCTTTTAGTCAATGATAATAATAATAATAATAATAATAATAATACTAATAATAATAATAATTAATAATAATAATAACAACAACAACGCTATTAGATACCAGTACTTACGACAATAATAATAATAGTAAGAATAACAGCAATTATAAAAATAATAATAACAATAAACAAAATAATAGCAATAATAATAATAATAATAATACTAATAATAATAATAATTAATAATAATAATAATAATAATAATAATAATAATAATAATAATGATAATAATAATAATAATAATGATGATAGTAATAATAATAATAATAATAATGATAATAATAATAATAATAATGATGATAGTAATAATAATAATAATAATAATGATAATAATAATAATAATAATGATGATAGTAATAATAATAATAATAATAATGATAATAATAATAATAATAATGATGATAGTAATAATAATAATAATAATAATGATAATAATAATAATAATAATGATGATAGTAATAATAATAATAATAATAATGATAATAATAATAATAATAATGATGATAGTAATAATAATAATAATAATAATGATAATAATAATAATAATAATGATGATAGTAATAATAATAATAATAATAATGATAATAATAATAATAATAATGATGATAGTAATAATAATAATAATAATAATGATAATAATAATAATAATAATGATGATAGTAATAATAATAATAATAATAATGATAATAATAATAATAATAATGATGATAGTAATAATAATAATAATAATAATGATAGTAATAAAATATCGATAACAGTAATGGTAATGGTAATGGAATGATAATGGTAATGGTAACGCAATAGGAACAACAGCTATAACATTAACAGTGGAAGCAACATTAAAAATAAATAAATAATTGTTATTATTCGCAGTATATGCAGGTGCTATATATATATATATATATATATATATAAATTAATTAAATTGATTAAACTAAAAACTAAATTAATTAAACAATTAAACCTGTTTTCTAAAATTATCGTCGTTGATTTTTAGAATCGTTAAAGAATTTTTTGTCAAATTAAAAGTTACGCATCTTTAATTATCATATCAAGCAAGAAAGAGTCGCGGGTCTCCGCGAATACGAACGCGTAAATTGACATTTTATTGGCATGCATGTGCGTGAGCGCGAATTAACTAATTGAATTTGTCAATGATTAATGATAATCGATAATGACGATCGCACCTCACTCTACCACGATAAACATACGCATGTGATTAAAAGTATGGGAATGCGATTCGGGAGACATAAAATGGCGGAGACTGGACGATTTTCTGATGGAGATGGCGATCGCATACATAAGTCCAATCGGTCATCGCTAATCATTCATAAATTGTATTAATGATTTGATAAATCGACGAATAGAGTCAGCCGCGAGTCCTTCGCCTCGATCAACATAAGTTTATCGAGCGACCTGCATTCAGGATTTCGATACACGTTCCTTCCTAATCATTCAAAACGTTCAATTATTCCAAGCGACGTCGGGTTGAACAATTTACAACAATTTACAACGTCTCGTAATATCGTAATAACACACGTGCAAATTAACAAAAGCCAGGCGTATAAAAAGGTCGATAAAAGGAAAAACAATTTTCCACTTTTATATTTTTTTCGACAAAGGATCGACGAAATCACGCCAAAACGACATAAATGCGAATATAAACGAGCGAGCGCTATAAAGGGCAAATAGGAACTCTCGGAGATGGAAAGCCGGGAAAGGATAGAGTCGAAATATCAAAGGAGCGATGCAATTAATGCCAACGCTACGACGATGGAAGGTCTTTTGGTGGAAGGTGGATGGAAGGTCTCGGGTGGACTTTTGTAGCGCGGAGTGGAAATCGGCAGGGATCGGCTGGGATGAGACACGCCTTCGGGTTTCGCCTAGACGTGTGCGATGAGGAAGGGCTCGGCAATGTTGCCCGACACGTACGAGATACGCCGTCGACGGGGCAATGCGCTGACACGACATTCCAGGAAGAGAGCGAGAGAGCCGGTCGTCTAGGTGGTGCGCGATAGGCGATTCGGGTCGGGTTTCGGGCTCGTTTTGCGACGTTGTTGGCAAAAGTCGTTGTCGTTGCCGGTGGACGGCGATGCAAAAGTCGGTCGCAATTTCCCGCCGGGGAAATTCGATTTACTTATTAAAGCCCCGGAGGCCACGTGCTTACCATCGCCCCGCTTTTACCTCTATGCGCATGCGTCCGATCACCGACCGACCGCCCGCCCAATAAACCCAATGGCCGTCGTCATCGACTTCGTTCCACTAAATGTATAGGTGACTCGTCCTTGCTCGGCAGCTTCCTCCCTCCCTCCCTCCCTCCCTCCCTCCCTCCCTCTATCACCCCATATCCATACCGCCATTGCCAATATCGATCAATTGTCGCAGGATCGGCAAGTCCCGATTGCGATGGCTATCGTCGCCTTCCGCATTTAGAGATGAATATAAAATTTGACCAGCAAAGCCTAATGAAACGATGGACCGACGTAAAAATACGAATCTAAGCAGCCCAATTAAGAATCCATTTCTCAAAACTTCAAGGGCGCCCCAAGCCATTGAGATGCCAATGGATTTAGGTAGGACAGAGTCCCGTAAGGAGCTCTATCGGAGAATAAAACGAGAGTCGTTGGACAACATTTACATCTCTATTAAATGTAAATGTGTGTTTTATTGGTAATGTAAGAGAAAGTACAAGTGGCAATGAAAACGTGATTTCGCTCGTTTCCCTTGGCTCCGCTTGTAAAAAATTATCTCCAAACGCGTTTCACTGTGATTAGAAATGCGCAATCTCTCGTTCACTCTCCAAGCACTCTCCTTCCTCTCTTTTATAAAGCAATCCGTATTCATTGCGAGCAATGCGAACATCGTCTCAGCTGATTTGAAAATAATAATAAAAAAAAAAAAAAAAAAAAAAAAAATAAATAAATAAATAAGTCGGTTAAATATAGGAGTCTATTATACACGCAGGCGCGGTCTTTATATGGCATTGAACGAGATTTTAAAGAATCATTAATTTTGCGTATCTTGGCTCGGTCGTATCTGGCGCAGTGTGCCGGATCGGTCAATGAGAAGAGAAAGATAAGAGAGAGAGAGAGAGAGCCGGATCGCTGAATGAGAAGAGAGAGATAGGAGAGAGAGAGAGAGAGAGAGAGAGAGAGAGAGAGAGAGAGAGAGAGTACGCAACGAGTAGAGAAGAAATTTGAAAAAATTTAAATAACTTTTGCCACTCCGGCTTCGAAAATAACAATATCATTAAATAAGTTTTATCGAGTAGGTTGAAAAAAAAGTATTTGGCGTCGCTCTCTTTACTTTGTTATCTGGATTACGTTACAGCCAGATAAACGTGTGCACACATGTAATGTCAGCAAAATCGCTCAAACAATGCGATTGTATTTGTATTTCGCGCTCACCTTCTCCACGCTTTCATTCCCCTCCCTCGCCAATCTCTCTCTCTCTCTCTCTCTCTCTCTCTCGCACACACGTACCTCCCCCCCCCCTCTCTCTAACTCATCCATCTACATCCCGTTTTTTCATTTCGCTTTATTATTTTCCATCGTATTCTTTAAATTAAATTTGCACATCGAGAAAATCGTCGTGAGTGCTCGCCTACCTTCGATTATCGTCGTAGCGCAACAGTTTATTTGAATTCAAATACGCGCAATCGTATCCAACCTCACCTTTTATCGCAAAAAGACACAATAAACGAGTAAATACCCACGCGATCCTGTAATTCAAGATAGCGAAAAATCATTGGCGAAGAACGATAAACATTATCGGGATTTCATTGGCCCACACTTGTCTCGCGCTCGAGTCATAAGAATGGGAACGTTGCCGGTATTGGCTCTCGATAAATCCTTGATTCTCGGAAGCGATAATGGCGAGCACATTTGAATTGCGATACATTCGAGTTTCGTTTGAGAAATTTCATTGAGCCGCCGATGAAGTGTCGGGCGAGCATCGTTAATCAGCTCGCAAAATCAAAAACCATCTATCGTAGGAGGCTGCGCACTACTAGAAATAACAATGTTCGTCTCCTCGCGCGAAACGAAAGAAGCTCATCTCTAACATTAAATCGAGAGAATGACAAATAC